TCAAGCATTCATTTTCAGGTAATCCAGCAGATGGCACAAGAGGACAGAAGCTGAATTGAATATGGGTTGCCTTACCTTTCACATAGGCTATCTTCTTCATGATGGTTTCCTGAGCTTGGTGCAGAGTCACTATCACAATGCCTCCAACTTCACCATAACCCCAGACCACAGCTCCAGCTGGTTCTTTCTGTAACACCATGTGATCAGCAATGTAGGAAGCAAAACGAAAATTAACACCTACAAGGCAGAACAGTTCCATTAGAAATATTACAACCTGAATGAGCAGATAAACACATAGTCTTTATGTAAAAGGCCTTGAATGTGATATAGTATATTTAATCCCACAGTCTCATACTTATTCCTCCTAACAAGTAAACAGCCTAACCAGAATATGTGTCAACATTATACAGCAAGTACAGATGAGCAATGCTGAATTCTCAAAGAGCCCACAGTCATGCTACCTTCATTCCACACAGTTCATATCTTGCTTACCCCCTTACTCTCTATGCTTCAATCCTGAAGGGTTGCCTCTCTTTTTCCTACCACTAACAGTTTCCTGTTACATACTTACAAATGGGAATTTATAAGTGAATCACTGCCTTCTCCTAATTTCTCCTACATTATCTAAGGCTTCTGACACCCCCAATGACTGAGTCTAAATTGGAAGCTCCTAGATATCAGAAACCAGTGTTTTATTCATTGCTTTAACTCTTCACAGCACCAAGCAAAATTTCCAAGCTTAATAAATATTTATTGAATTAGCAAACTAAAGAAGTATACGTTTATCCAATTTGTTCCTTTCTTCTGGTTTTTCTCTTTTCCATGTTTGCTCATCCTTCTACCAATGCTGAGTTTCCTCAAACAATTCACTATGCCATCCTGATATGCTAGGGGTACTGAAGTAACCACTCTTAAGCATTTATAGATGTCTGCCAGATAAAGTATCTGAAGTACAGATGCTTCTGTTATCTTGATGGTAAATATAGAGACTAAGGCAAAGATGAAGAGAAAAATCACAAATCCTTAGTATAAATTCACCTATTTCACAAACTTAAATTGTCAAAAGGACAAAAAAGAGCATAGTTGAAAATGTAGACTCTGTCCCAGAGATTCACTAACAAGACCGAACAAAAACTCACTTTAACAAGACAGTTCCTATTTTTTAACATTGAGCCTATATTGAAGTGTTTTATTAATAACAAGCTTATTATCTAAATTGTCTCAGTAATACATCCATCAAAATGTAGCTAAAAATAGTATGTGGTTAAGTCACATTCTAATCATTAAGTGAGAATAAAGATATTGATATTTTGTGATCTAAAGACAAATGATAGACAGGAAAGGAGATATGAATTAATGAAAATGAAATTTTCCTTTCCAGAAGCTACAAATAATCTTGCAAAGTTCCTTAGATGATACCTTTTAGGGCATCACAGGCAAAGGAGTCACCTACATACTCTCAGTGGACAGCCACTCTAAGCAAGAGCCCAGTTATTAAGACCTCTCCTATTTATAATGAATCAACCTAATCCTACAGGGCTGCTGGGCTAGGGATAGTTAGCAAAATGCACCAAGAACAGAACACAACATCCCAGAGATTGCATAACCATATAGGCAGTTTGCCAAAAGTAAGGCATATGTGTGGGAGGGCCTTGTCTTGGGTAGGTGCTTCATACTGAACAGAAATGATAACCAGAAGCAGAGGAGTTAGATAGGGAGAAAAGGAGTGAATTTGGGGGAGATGAAATGCAAAAGAACACTTGCTATGTATAAGCCCAAAAAAAGGACCTCAGCAAGGAAATGTGAGCAAATTGTAACACAGAGGTAGGGAAGAGCTTTCCAACTCAATCCATCATCATCAACAAACTTTTTTGAGCACAATCATCATGTACAACTCTGCAATAGATCTGGGAATCATAAAATTCATACAGCAAGGGATAACTTTAAAGATTATCTACCTTTCATTCGACAAATGAGAAAACTGGGGCCCAAAGAAGTCATGTGACCTGCCTGAGGTCAAAAACTCCATAGGTCATAGAAAAGAAAGAAACTCAGGTCATAGGACTTTTTTCCAGTTCACTGCTTTTCTGGAGGGCTCTTTATATTCTGAAGTAAATAAAAGAGACAACATTCCTTGTCCTCAAGGAGCTCAGATTCTAAAACTGATAATGACAAAGGCACATGGTTGAACATCACCATGACTATTTCCTTTTTTTTTTTAACTTCTCTTCGTATCCCCAGCCTTTCTTCCTTTGTATCCCAGACTGCCCTGCACATTTTTTTTTTTTGCAGACCTGTGAATTTCAAGTTGGGAAATTCTGTCAATGCACATCTATGGCTGTTTAGCACCTTAGAAGTCAGAGAGTTATCAGATGTGCTAAAAATTTAGTTGACTTGCCCAGGGTTCTCATAAATGGTGTGTCAGAGAAGAGCTTGAACCCAGGCCATCCAAACAAACATAGAAGCTAGCCTTCTATCCATTACACCACATTGCCTCTCACCTTGCAACATAATAGGGCTCTTAATTATGACCTCTATGCAGATGAATCACAGGTCTATGTGTCCAGCCCAAGTATCTCTCCAGAGTTTCAGTCCTGCACACAGTCTATTAGACATTTTTAAATGGATGCCTCCAGGATACCTCACACTCAACATATCTGAAATAAAATTCTTTAGCTTCCCCCAAACCTACTCCTCTATCAAACCTTCCCTGCTTTCTTTGAAAGTACCACCATAACATATATAACCAGAGAGTTATCTTTGATTCCTCACTGGTTCTCATCCCATATATACAATCAGTTGCCAAATCTTGCCATTTCAACCTCCCCATCTCTGGAGAATCCATCTCCCTTTCTCTCTACTCACATAGCTACCACCCTAGTTCAGACCTATGCTATGGTAATGACCTTCTATTCAATTAGTCTCTGCCTTACACCCCTCCCTACTCCAATCCATCCTACACATCTGCCAAAATGATTTTCCTAAAATGCATATCTGACCATGTCCCTCCCTTATTCAATCAACTCCCATGATTCCCTATTGCACCAAGAATAAAATACAAACTTTCATGTTTAATTTTTAAAGCCCTTCAAAACCTGGCCCCAACTTCTTTCTAGATTATGTATTACTTCCCTTCTCAGACTCTAAGATCTAACCAAGCTGGCTTCTTTGCTCTTCGTAATAATCAGTTAACCTAGAGAGTTGACATCATCCTTGACACATACATCTCAAATGAGGTTAAGATATATCAGTTACTGTTTTCCCATGCACAGCTGGTGACAGGATTGTTTGTCCTTGTTAGGCCAGGAACACCTAATCCCTACCCACCCCAACCCCTCCACTCCCAGGGATCTTCACATAGCATTCACTCTCCCATGTCCCCACCTTTGTACCAGCTATCTCCCACACGTAGAATATACTTTCTACTCTCCTCTGCATCAGAGAATCCCTCACTTCCTTAAAGACACAGCTCAAGTATCATCTTCTATACAAAGTTTATCTTGAGCCGCAAACTTAGTGTCCTACCTCCCTAACTGCCTTGTCTCTATCTACTTTGTTTTATAAATATATATACATATATATATACATATATATATATATATATATATACATATGCACACACACTTATTCTATCTATTCTTATATTACATGTTGTCTTCCCTAAGAGAATATAAGCTCTCTGAGAGTATGGAGTGTTTGTTTATATTCATATCCCCAGCAAGTGTAGAAGTACCTGGCACTCAGTAGGTACCTAATGTTTGTTGATTGATGCCAGTTTGATAACCTAGGATCTGGGCAGAAATATGAAGACATTCTAACAACAGAGCTTTTTTATAGTTATCAAATGCACATACTCAAAAAAGCCCTCCCTAACATTTACATCATTATCAACTTTTACAAGCTTTTTCCTTCTTTTCTTGTGGGGTTGGCAGTGGAAAGAAAAAAGTGCTAAGTATCTTCAACTAGGCTGAGGGAGAGGGGGAAGTTAAACGGGAGAAGATAAAAAAGAGAAGGTAACATGTAATGACAGCAATAACTGAGAGAAAAATGAAGACAGGCCAAGTAAGAGGCCTGAGTTTGCTATCTGAGATGAGAAAAAGAGGAGGGGTAGAGTTGTTATAATCAGTCCCTTTATTAAGGAAATGCCCTTTTTCCATGATCTTTAGTTCCAGAAGCCTCTGCACTGCTTCCAAAGCAGAGAGGTTGGGTGGTCCATGGATGTGACTCAGTACCCATCCTACTCATAAATAGGAGGGGATTTAAACTGCAGGATATGACCAGGAGCCAAGCCCAGAGTGACTTGCTGCTCCTTTCAAGCTCCCCATTCATCCAGGTTATCTAGCACTTACTTGCCCCTGGTTTATATATCTGCATCTGGGCCAAAAGTCACCTGTGTGCTTGAATGTTCTGAGCTTGTGACAGACAGGCTTGTATTTGTTAGCCTGTAACCCTTCATCTCCCCTTGGAGGCTTGGGTATGGAGGGAGGGGGCAAAGCTTTACCCAGTTACTACGAACCCTTGAAATGCAGTGGTCAGGGGTCCACTACTATCCAAAAGAGAAAAACCGCAGGTGGAAATGTTGCCATCACCAGCCTCTCCTCCCTGGCCCCATAGGTTGCCCAGGCTCTTCCTCACAGGCCCCTTCAGGCCTAGGCTGTGGAAAGGCCTTCGGACCTAGAGAGCAGAGTCCGGGAGCCCGCTGACTCCAGGCCGCAGCCCGGCCCCCACCTCACCTGCTCCGCCGCCCCCGCTGGCCCCCAGGAACCACGGCAACAATAGCAGCGCCCGTAGGGCAGAGGTCATCCTCATATTTCCTAGACACCCAGGATATAGTCTTCAGGGTTGGGGGCGGGGACAGTGTAAGGCTCGGGGCGGACCCCGTGGGCTTGGCTGGGGCGGGGCTTAGATGAGGGCGGGGCCCAGCCCCACCCCAGCCTCTTTCATCTTCAGTACGTGAAGCGGCTGGTGGCTCCGCCAGTAAAACGAATCTAAGCTTTTTGTTCTGTTCGGCCGCCGTAGACAAGGAAACTGCAGAGAAAACGGTTACCCGGCAACGAGAAGAAACAACCGGAACCATCGGCACCGGCAGCGGGAGAAAGGAGAGGTAAGGACGGCAGCCAGTCTACTCCGTCTCCGCGACTGTTGACCGCCTTTTTCCCCTTCCCTCTTCTCCCTTTCGGCAAGTTCCCCGGAACCCTCAAAGCGACTGACGTAGCTCCTTACACTCTGCAACCCAGAGTGGCCTGCACCCCGAAAATCGGAGATCTCCCCAGTAGCGACTCCCAGCCCCCCCAGGAAAGCCTGCCCCGGAGAAGGTCGCCGCCGCTCGTCCCGTAGGTCCAGGCAGGCCCTCTCGCTCCTCTTGCCCCCAAAGCCTATCTCCCAGCCAGGCCCGAGATCTCACCTGGACCAACTCTCTCAAAAATGATCCAAACTTCCCTCCGCCACACCCCCTTCCACATGGGCGCTGATCACACCCTACTTCCCATTCCCTGTGGCCGTAGCCCTTCTACCAAGCCGGACCCTCCCTCCCCGCCACGACTCCCCTTCTGCCCAAGCCAGCCTAAGGAACCAAGACCTTAAGTGGTCTCGCCATCCTCTAGGACCCACCCTGGAGATTCACCGTCTCAAAGCTGGTGTGAACTTTTGCTGCAAGATAGGAAGAGAACTGGGCAAGACAAAGCCAACAAACATAAGAACTCCAATACCTCTGAGATTTAAGGACTTTATTTCACCCTCAGGAATGGCAGCTTAGCACATCTAGAGAGTGACATGACCCCCCTGTGCAGAAATAGATGAGGTAAAGATTGAATTTGAGGTTCTTTCATCTCTTGGGCCTTGATCTGATGGAGGGCCTCTAAATTTGTACTAGTTCTTGAGCAAATCCTAAAGGTTTTTATTTGCAGACAAGACCATCTCTACATCTTCCCTGAAGAGGGGCACTCTATAATGATAATATTTAATTAACCTAACTAATGGTTTACCTTAACACAAACATCTCTGGGAAGTAAGTAGGTATCTGGTATGATTTTTCCCATGTAAACCCAAAGAAATTAAAATACAGAGTTTAAAAAAGATTTACATCAAATCATCTACATATTTGTTGTAGAAATAAAGGATATGGCCCACTAAATGGGTCTTCCTTTGCAGTGTTCCCTTACTATCCAAAGAAAGCCTACAACTCTTTGAAGGTATAGGTGAGTCTCAGATTGTGCTCAAGAAAAGTTGAAGGGGCAGCTAGGTGGCTCAGTGGATAGAGCTCCAGCCTTGGAGTCAGGAGGACCTGACTCAGATAGTTGACATTTCCTAACTGACCCTGGGCAAGTCACTCAACCCCGATTGTCTCCCCAAAAAGAAAAGTTGAAGTAGAGAAGTATTTGTCTGTCAGAAATCATTTACTTTAGGGTTTTAATTGTGCAAATGAAGTCCAGAAGTGGAGGTTAAAGTCAGTACTCTTTAATAATCTCTGTGTACAATAGGCAGTTCCTGCCAAAGAGATGTCGATTCCATTCTCCAATACCGACTACCGAATTCCACAAGGATTTGGGAATCTTCTCGAAGGGCTGACACGGGAAATTCTGAGGGAGCAGCCGGACAATATTCCAGCTTTTGCAGCAGCATATTTTGAAAACCTACTAGAAAAAAGAGCGAGTAAGCTTAAAATGGGTCTTTTTAATTTTTTTTAAAGTTACAGAATATTTTCAGTGAAATTTGCTTAAGGAAAACTATAGATAAGTCTTTTTGATGGGTGACATTCAAATATAAGTTTTTGGCACTTGATACAGTGGTCAAAAATATGTGCCTTTTAGGCAGATGCCCTTCCAGTAGAAGAGATTTGTTTCTTAAGTGAGTTTCATTGTATTCCATTTTACTAATTCTAACCTGTTTCTTTTTGCCCTTCATAACTGGCCTTTCAAGCACTTATTAAGATCTCCTCCACGTTCAGTTTGCTCCTTGGTTTTCAAGCAGTTTGGCTAAATCATCGTCTGTCTGTCCTGTTCTGAAAAATCTCCATGAAAGAAATTCCTTGAACTCCATAACATATCTAAATATTTCTCACTTAAAAACAGTGTTCTGTAACAGAGAATCCTACATGGTTTAAATTAAATGGTGCGTAATTGTGCTTTCCCAGGGTTATTTTGAACAATCTCACATCAGAAATGATTACTTTGCTTTGAAAAGGAAACTGCCTAGGTCTATAATGCCAACTGTTTTGTTGTTTAGTTCCCCATTGTGCCCTCTCCCCCCTACCCCATTACCTCACATTCTCAAGGCCTTATTCCTGCCCAGAAACAGGGAATCTGCCTTTTCAGCCAGTGACTAATTGAGAAAAAAGGCAAGCAAACTTATTTCACTTCTACCTTCAAAATTCTCCAAGTCATAAGCCATTTAATAGGATCATGTACCCAAGACTGCAAGTAATCAAAACAGGCAACTAAGTGGCAAAGTGGATAAAGCACTAAGCCTGAAGTCAGGAAGTCTCATATTCCTGAGTTTAAATCTGGTCTCAGACACTTAATATCTGTGTGACTCTGGGCAAGTTACTTAAGTAAGTTTGACTCAGTTCCTCATTTGTAAAGTAAGCTGGAGGAGGCAGCTAGATGACACATTGGATAGAGCACTGCCTTAGACACATAACCCTTACTAGCAGTGTGACCCTAGGCAGGTCACTTAACCCTATTGCCTGGCCAAAAAATAAAATAAAATAAAATAAGCCGGAAAAGGAAATGGCAAACCACTCCAGCATCTTTGCTGAGAAAACCCCAAATGGGGTCATAGAGTTGGGCATAATTGAAAACAACCAAACACCACCCAAGACTAATCAGCAGAAGCCAAAAGTTATACTTAAAGCCTAATCTTGACTGAGACAAGCTTTCTTTTTAAGCTACGCCAATTAATATCCTTAGTGACACTTGTCCAACAATGGGATAAGGTCTCTAGAAAAACCCATGTCCCATATGGGTCGTGTTCATTTTAAAGAGAAAGAGAGAATACCTTCTCTGAGACTGGTATAATTCAAGTAGCGTACTTCCCACACTCAACATAGTTCAATTTTTTGCCCTTTCCCAGCATTGTTAGGAGCCTCTGCCTAGCCCATTTTTTTCTGTACATCACTGATCATTTATTTTAACATCTAATTATTATGATTAGGTCATGGCCTAAAAGAGATTTAACTGCCTTTCAACACTTTGATATATTCTCTAGAGAAAAAAAATGAGAAATCCTAGACTTTGGGCTAAGATGTGAAGTGTTATGAGTAGTAACTTAATTATGTTAATACAACATTAATTTTGTAAGTTAAAGCAATGAAAAAACTGTATTCATTTTGTAATTTTAGAACTCATTAACCTTGCATTATAAAAATGTTGAGTCACTGTTTCCAGATCACAGTAATTAAAGCAATTCCAGATTAATGGTCTCTAGATACTAATCTTCCAACTAATACTACTTAAATACTTCCAGCTTCTACTGATGTAGATCACAGCCCCTCTAGATCTTAATAGACTGTTTCATGAGTTGCTATGACTGAAAAGAAATCATCACCTGGTGACCAACACACTGTGGTGATATGCTTCTTTAAATTTAGTTAGACTGGAGCCTTATGCTTTACTGAAGGGTCACCTCCTCACCATGCTATCATGAGAGTAGGGCTTAAGTGGACTAATAAAAGCCCCTGACCACCAAATATAAATCATTTAGACCTTTCCATGTGCTTGAAAAAAATTATCATTTTTTAAAAGGGAGTAAAGAGATAGGTCCTTTCCAGATGAAAGAGAGACTCCTAAAGAATAAAATAAAAAGAGAACCAAATGGTCAAAAATGACTGATCTAACAGATTTAACTGATTCCAAATTTGACCTACTTTCTGTCTGTGCCCCTTCTCTTTCTTTTCTCTCTTACTTTCATCTCTTCCTATACCCAGCCTTCTCCTTGCCATGTTACATTTTAAAATCTCTCCAATAAAAGTATTTTTAGGGCAGTTATGTGTTGTGAGATAATTATTGGAGGATATTGTATGCTGATATCCATTTCTTTGTATGTCTTTTGGCCTGACCCTGTGATTTGATTGGTATAGCGTGTCCTATGAGGAAATCCCCCCTACCAGTGTAGACAACACTTAGAGAATTCCCTGGGGAATTATTGAGCGAGTAGGTGATTTGCCCAGAGTCACTCATACAGCCTGTGTGTGTAAGAAACAGGACTTGAATCCAGCTCTTATTGGCTTTGAGGCCAGCTGTCCACCCACTATGTCAGCACTGCCTCCCATGGACACTTCCAATGTAATAATAGTAACTTTTACATCATAATTTGCAACATAAATTACTCAAGGGTTTAGAGGACTGTATTTTTATCTGTCATATAGAAATTCACAGAAACTTAATAGAAATTTAATGATAATATTAAACACCAAGATCCCCAGAGAGCCATCTTAGGGATCTTTCCCTCTAAATAAAAGTTTTAGCTGAAGCAATATGGAAGGGTACATAGCTACATCTCTCTTCTCTTTAGGCATTAACCCAATTATTAGCTTCTCTGTATTGATCTTCTTTCTTTTTCATTTTTCTCCTTACCCCATTTTATCTCCTGCCCCATCTTTCCCCCACTGTGTAAAATTATTATCTCCCCACTATGATAATATTAGGTGGCACAATAAAGTAGCCAAGTGTGGTGTTAGTAATAAATGTGTTATGTACTTAGGTGGACCTGTATTCAGATCCTGCCTCAGATACATACTGGCTATGTGACTCTGGAAGAGTCACCTTAATCCCCCTCCACCTCATTTTGCTTATCTGTAAAGTGAGGTTAGTAATAGTACCTGTCTCAGATCAAAAGAGATAACATACTAAAAGGTGTTTTGCAAAACTTAAAGCACTGTATAAATGCTAACTATTATTATTATCACTATAAACAGATGTGTTTTGGCTAGCAGTAAATAACTGTTTTTACTTTTGATGTATGATAAGCCCACAATAATTCTTCATTTTTTTTTCAGAAACCAATTTTGATCCAGCAGAATGGGGGGCTAAGGTAGATGACCGCTTCTACAACAACCATGCTTTCAAGGTACAACAACCCTCTGGTGCTACTGAACCTGAGGTCAGTCTGTCTGCTCTCCCGACTAAGGCTACATAGATATGACTATTTTCTCTCAAGAATTACAAAATGCGTCACAGATATCTTATCAAATGGGATATTTTAAATGGCTTTTTTTCAGGCCAGAAATCCTACTCTGATAGATCCGAGACTTATATACTGTTAGTTAGCTTGTACTAAATATAGACCTAGACAGAGAATGTTCATGCAATTTCAACAAGTAATGGTTCGCGTGAAATGATGCTACTAAGGCAATATTGTTTTTCTCCCTTCTACTGATGGATTTACCTTGCTCATTCCATATTTTGTACAATGCCCATCCCTTGTAAGAGCATAACTGGCTCTGTAACTTTAAACAAGTCACTTAGCCTCCTTTGAACCACAGTTCCCTCATCTGTAAGGTGGAAGGTTTAAATGATTTTTAGAGTCCCTTCCAGCTGTAGGATTCTCTGATTCTGAGATCACAGACTGATATTAGGGATGCTGAGCCTGAGATAATGGAACAAAATTTTTCTCTGTTTGAAACTAATTAGGACATACAATGATTGGACATACTACTCTGGAATCATTAGTATAGTATATCTATCTGAGATAACTAGCCCATGCACCACTATCCACAGTGCACCTGCAAAATATTAGAACACAAAGAGAGAAACTAAGCTCAGCATTTTGAAAGCTTCCCCAGTGGGCTTGGGAAAATGTCTGCAAAACTCCAAAAGGAATGGTGGTGATTATTTTAGTGTTTATAGTTGTCAGGGTAGCTTCAGGATCTATTTCTTCTTTTGAATACAAAGCCTTTTTATAATTGTCCAGTGAATCATTAAGTATCTGTTGAATGGGCTTTGAAGTCAGGTGATGACTTGATATTTGTTATTATAAAGGAAGGCATCAAGTATGAAATGAGATAATATCTGGAAAGGCTCAACACAGTGCCTGGCACATAGTAGACACTTAATAAATACTCATTCTCTCCCTCCATCCCTCCCTCCAAGTTATCTAAGAGTCAAAAGTAGAAACCCCAAAGGCCATGTAGAGCAACCCATACCTGAATAAGAATCCCTTTCACAACCTGCCTAACAAGTGATCCTCAGCCTTTTCTTGAAGACTGATAGTGAGGGGCACCCCATGAGGGGCACATTATACTTTTGAATAGTTTTATTTGTTAAAAGGTTCTTCCTCCTGTCAAGCTTCACTGTGTTTCTCTGCAGTTCCCAGCCATGGCTCCTAGTTCTGTCCTCTGTTGCCAGGCAGAAATACTCCAGTTTCTTTTTCACATAATGTCCTTTAAATTATTTGAAGACAGTTATCATGCCCCTTGCCCCAGCCACATTTTCCCTTTCCCAGGCTAAATGTCTGCATTTCCTTCAACTAGTTAGTGTGTAGTATGATTTGAAGGCCCAGGACCATTTTGTTTGCCCTATTTTGGACACTTCGAATCCAATAACATTCATTAAGTGTCTACTATGTAGCAGAATACATTTAATAAGAAAGAAAGCCCCTGCTCTTATTAGTTTACATTCTGATGAGGGAGATAATACATGAAAGGAGGCAGGAAAAGGGAAGACACAGCAGGAGATACCCACGGCAGGTGCATCTTATTCCCTGGAGTTGAAACCAGGCAGCTCAGCAGATGCAAAGTAGAGTGAGTTGAGTCTACTTTCTGGCCTCCTCTATAAAGGAAGGGATTGGGTGGAATTTGGTACTCTGCCCTCCAACCATAGGGGAAGACAAGGCTAAGGCAGGGGAGATGGTGTCAATTAAGCTAGAGTTTGATGTATGGTGGTGAGTTTAGAAGTGATGAGCTTGTTCTGGGAGAGGCATCTAATTCTGTGGAGTTGAAACCAGGTGGGGCAGCCCTATTTTGGACACTTGCTAACTTATAGTTGTGCTTCCTAAAATATGATATCCATAACTGAACCCAGTTCCCCAGATGTGGTTTTAGAAAAGAGAGCACTGGTCCTGGGCACTGTACCTTTCTTAATACAACCGAAGCTTGTATTACCTTTTTTTTTGGTTGCCATATCACACTATTGATCAGTATTAAGTTTGCAGTCCATTAAAAGCCATTAAAATTTTCAAAAGAATTGCTGTCTAACTCGTATCTCCCCTGTTTTATACTTCTGAAATTGATTTTTTTAACTCACTTATTTAACTCATTTATTAGATTCAGTGCAATGTTCTATCCTGTAAGGATCTTTTTAGATGCTGTCATCCATTATGTTAACCATCCCTCTTATCTTTGTAATGTCACAAATAAAAACAGTAAACATCACCATATCAATCAAGGACAGATACCTGAGATGCTCAACTAGGGACCAGTTTACATTAAACCATTGAGGACTATTCTTTGGATCCAGCCCCATTCAACCAGTTCTGAATGCAACCTTATCATCTCCTAGCACATATCTCCCCATACTTTTCACCAATATAACAGTAAAAATATTGTCAAATGCCTTGTTAAAATTTAGGCCTCCTTTATCTACAGATTCTTCTGATCAGCTAACCTAGTAGCCTGACAAAGGAAGTGAGATTTGTCTGGCAGGATGTGTTTGGAGGAATCTATTCTTGCCCTTTGTAGTCAGCACTTCCTTTTCTAGATACTTAACCAACCATCCCTTTAATCATGCATTATCTAATTTTTGCAAGAATATTACAATCAATACTACTGGCTATAGTTTGCACCCTATATTCTCTTCCCTTTTAAAAAAAAAATTAGAACATTTGCCCTTCTCCAGTTTTGTAATGCCCCTTCTGTTCTCCACAATCTTTCTTTTTAAAAAATATTCAATTTTATTTCAGTTTTAGTTTCCAAATTCTCTCCCCCCACTCCCTCATGCATTGAGAAGACATGAAACACAAAACCAGTTTACAAATATAGAATCACATAAAACAAATTTCTGTATTAGCCATGTTCTGGGGAGGAAAGGCAAGAAAAACTGTGTGTTATTCTGAACTCTGTATCCATCAGGTCTCTATCTGGAGGCAGATAGCATTTTTCATTATAAGTCCTTTGGAATTGTGGTGGGTCATTGTATTTATCAGAGTTAACTAAGTCTTTCACAATTGATTTCTTTACAATATTGCTATTTCTGTGTAAATTGTTCTTCTGATTCTGCTCACTTCACTTTCTATCAGTTTATATAAGTCTTCCTTAAGTCTTCCTGTGTTTTTCTGAAACCCATTTCTTACAGCACAGTAGTATTCCATCACATCATATATACCCGAATTTGATCAGCCATTCCCCAATTGATAGGCATCACCTCCATTTCTAATTGTATACTACCTTCTACAGTCTTTCAAAGGTCACTGAGAATGGTTCAGCAATCACATTTGCCAGTTCTTTCAGTGTCTGAAGATTTAAATAATTTGAACTCATTAAGGCATTAAGGGCAGGTCTGTGCTGTCTTACTATTTCCCCACATATATTTTGTTTAAACTATTTGTTTCCTATCCAGTTCAAAGATATTGTCCTTACAAAGAAAACATAAGTGTATATGTGTGTGTGTGTGTGTACAAATATATGTAATTATCATTATCTTATCCCATCCTCTTTTTCCTAATCTGTAACATATAGTGTTATTATCTTATCCCATTCTCTATATGATATATTTTTATCTTTACCTTTCTTCATCAGCATCAGCTTAGAATGAGCTTTAACATTTTTATATTATTCTTACATGATTGTGCCACACTTTTGTATATTCATCCTCTGTTATGTACTATTGCCTCCATCTTTGATACATTTGTTTTTAAAATTTAAGTTGGTTGGTGAGTTTCCTTTTGTATCCACATCACTTTCCAATCTATGAACACCTTCACCTTTTCCTTTTTATCGGAATTGTTTCTCTTAGTATCCTCAGAATTTTTTTAGAACTTCTCTTGGGCTGACTTCTACTGTGAAATTTTATCTCTGTAAATCCTACCTATCTTTTTTCTGAATCCTTTTAAATCTGTTCTCCCCAAATACATGGTGCACATCAAATTATGCCCAGCTTTTCTCTCCTCCATCATAAACTCTATCATAGAGTGGTCACTTAGCCCATAATTCTCATCATTTCTACCCCATCAGTTGGTTCCTCCTTATTACTGAGAATCAGATGCAGAATAGAAAATCCCCTTCACTTTTTCCTGTACCCATTTGAAGGGTGATCATTAAGTAAATTAAGAAATGTTAAGCTCCTCTACTTTTGGTAAAGAAAGAACTCAGGAAGATATCTGCATAATTGAAATACCCATAAGTAATAATAAGATCATGGAGGTAGATCTGAACCTTAGAGTCTAAGGAACCTTAGAGTCCACTGAGTACGTATCTCTACGTCAGGCTTTTAATCTGTTTTCTGAACTCCTTATATGTTTCCTTTTTCTGTCCCAAGTGATCTGTAGTATACCTTGAAAACAATATTGCTTCAGCTTCTTTCTCTCTTAACCAAAGTACATTCCACCATACTTTCCCTTATTCTTGGATATCCCTGCTTGAGTACATCTTTTTTTTTCTTTTTTTAAAATTTATTTATTTTTAGTTTTCAACATTCACTTCCACAAGATTTTGAGTTCCAAATGTTCTCCCCATCTCGCCTCTCCCCCACCCGAAGATGACGTGCATTCTGAATACACCTTCCTTAATCTACCGTCCCTTCTATCTCTCCCCCCCTTCTCTTATCCCCTTCCCTTTCTATTTGCCTGTAGGGCAGAATAGATTTCTATACCCCATTTCCTACATTTCTTATTTCCCAGTTGCATGTGAAAGCAGTTTTTTAACATGTGTTTTTAAAACTTTGGGTTCCAAATTTTCTCCCTTCCTCCCTCCCACCCACCCTTATTGAAAAGGCAAGCAACTTGATACAGGTTATACATGTGTAGTTATGCAAAACACTTCCATAGTAGTCATGTCGTGAAAAACTAACTATATTTCCCTTAATCCTATCCTGACTTCCATTTATTCTATTCTCTTTTGACCCTGTCCCTCCTCAAAAATGTTTTCTTCTGATTACCCCCTCATACATATAATACATATATATAATTTTTTTCCCTCTAACTACCTTAATGCTGACAAAAGTCTCGTGAGTTACAAATATCATCTTTCCATGTAGGAATGTAAACAGTTCAACCTTAATAAGTCCTTTGTGATTTCTCTTTCCTGTTTATCTCTTCATGCTTCTCTTGAGTCTTGTATTTGAAAGTCAAATTTTCTATTGAGCTCTGATCTTTTCATCAAGAATACTTGAAAGTTCCTTATTTCACTGAATGTCCATTTTTTTACCCTGAAGGATTATACTCAGTTTTACTGGGTAGATGATTCTGGGTTGTAATCCTAGTTCTTTTGACCTCCAGAATATTATATTCCAAGCCCTCTGGTCCCTTAACATAGAGGCTGCTAAATCTTGTGTATCCTGATTGTGTTTCCACAATACTTGAATTGTTTCTTTCTGGCTGCTTGCAATATTTTCTCCCTGACCTAGGAACTCTGGAATTTGGCTACAATATTCCCAGGAGTTTTCCTTTGGGGATCTCTTTCAGAAGGTGATTGGGGGATTCTTTCCATTTCTATTTTGCCCTCTGGTTCTAAAATATCAGGGCAGTTTTCCTTGATAATTTCTTGAAAGATAATGTATAGGCTCTTTTTTCGATCATGGCTTTCAGATAGTCCAATAATTTTTTAAATTATCTCTCCTGGGCCTATTTTTTAGGTCAGTTGTTTTTCCACTGAGATATTTCACATTGTTTTCTATTTTTTTCATTCTTTTGTGTGAGTACTCTTCTTAATATACAGTCTTACTCCACCTTCTCCACCTTTTACATTATCATGTTTCTTTTCAATAAGGTATACCCTTCGACAGGCACATTCTTCTGAATCTCATCCCACCACTTCTCAATAAAGCATATGAAATTATATTTGCCTCAATCCATTAGGCTTTCTAGTACACAGATGTAGAGGCATCTGAACCATGGGTTTCTTCTTGCCACATGGTAACTACTTTCTAAGGGCCTAGCTTGTTGAATGTATTTTGACTATTTTCTGCCTTCCTCTTCCTTCTCAGCTTTAAGGTACTTATGATTAGATTTGCTAGACTTCAGACAAGAGCCATAACTAGGAATTTTTAACCTGGGGCAAAAACAGTTTGAAGGGAGGGCAGCAGTACCAAAGAAAGAACAAGCCCACCACAGGTTCAGAAGTACTTTTTCCCTTCTCCCACATCCTCTGCTGGCTCATGAAACTAAGCCCATGCTTCTCACTTGCTTACCGTCTCCCAGGTACCATCACCATCATATCCCTCTCTGGAGTCCACTTTTGCCTGCAACCTTCTTGAGGCACAGGCCATCAGAGAACTAGAATGTAATTTAATTCAACAAGTGTTTATTAGACTCTTACTATATGCAAGAAACTGCTAGGTAATGGAAATAAATGGCAAAATCAGCCTCAAGAAGCTAACATTCTGGAGCAGTGAGGTGGTGCAGGGGATAGGGCTCCAACTTTGGAGTCAGTAGGACCTGAGTTCAAACTGGGCCTCAGACACTTGATACTTACTAGCTGTGTGACCCTGGGCAAGTCACTTAACCCTGATTGCCTCACCAAAAAGCAAAAAAAAAAAAAAAGCTAACATTCTACTGGAGATTTACAACCCATACATAGATAAGTAAATACAAAGTATTTCAGAAGTGAACAAGGAACTGCATTAACAATTATTGGTAGATAGACCAGGAAGGCCATGTAAAGGAAGTAGCACGTGAGCTGAGCACTAACCATTTTAGGATTCTAAGAGGCTAAGTTGAGATGAGAGAAAATTCCAAACATGAAAGACAGATTTTGCAAAAAGCACAAAGGCATGAAATGGAATGTCTAAGAAAGTATAGTCAGAAAAGTAGGAAGAGAACCTAATGTCTTCCTCAGAAAAGACCAAGGAAAAGAACAGCAACAACAAGCAATAAAATACCACAAGATAATAATATTAGTATCACCAGCATTTATACTGTGCTTTGAAGTTTGCAAAGTGCTTTTACCTGTTATTTCATTTGATCTTCACAACAACCCTGTGAGGTAGGTGCTCTTATTATCATCTACATTTTACATATGAGGAGACTGAGCCAAGAGAGGTCAAGTAACTTGCCCAGAGTCACACAGCTAAATTAGTGCCTGAAGTAGGATTTGAACTCGAGATTTCCTGATTCCAAATCCAGCACTCTATCCCTTCTCTCCATTTATTATCCAAGGATTTGCCATGGAATATGGCAAGGGAATGTGGAAGGGACAGAATATATATAATGGCAATAACAGTAAGCCTTTAGACTGTGTAATAATTCAAATTGTCACCACAGCCCAGTGAGAAAGGTACTATAAGTGCTACACACAGACAGACCCCATTTTACTGATGATGGAGAGGCAGGAATGATTGCCTCTAGCTCTGTAGGAGTGAGGATAAGGAGAAAAGGCACACACAAGCACTCTGTGACATGCACTGGACCAAAACCCCAGTCTACTTCAGGCAAACGTATTTTTACATTTTTTTATTAGGTATGTTCCATCTCTGACCAGAAAGTTTCCATTCCTGTGTTTTAAATTGTAATCCATAAATCCAAATCCTGTTCTCAGATACCATTTTTTAATCAGCTTATTGATCACTTTCCAAATCTGTCACTGTCTTCTAAAGTCCTTGCCTCCAATTGGCAGCACTAATTAAAACATACTCCCTGGCCCCAGGGTCTTCAGTTTTATGCCAAGGGTTTTTGGATTCCTTGTGGCAGAATTGTTTGTGCTCATATGAATCACCAGAACTGGGAAATAGTCATTTGACCAGGCAAGTCTTGGAAGTGGTTTCTGGGAAGACAATTATTGTCTTCTTGTTGACAGATAGATGCATCAGTTCCCTGCTTAGGGAGTCACAAATCATTAGACTTCTAACAGTATCCCAGTTCCTTTTGGGATGACTTTTCCTTAGATGTTTAATTCAAGGGACCTCTACTTTCCCTGAACCCTTTGAAAACTGCTTTCCTAAAATCTGCCATGAATGTCAAATTATGCCCAATTTCCTTCACAATTCCAAAGCCTTCCAAATCACTTTCACTTATCCTCCTTTTCCTTCTTCAGTTCAGATCCTTCTCTCATATATATAGTCTTCTCCCCCCAGAAGCTGAAAGTAGCAATAGTCATTTTTTCTATGTATAGAAAATTCTCTCTTTACTTTATAATGAAAGGTTTTTTATTTAGCCTTTACCCACAAACTTCATCAACCATATCAATTGGACTATATATCTATATCTATATCTATATATATATATATATATATATATATATATACACACATATATGTATATTGTATACATACATGTATACATTATACCATGTATAGAACAGTGTTTAGTTGGTATTTCTCTGAGATTTGAGAGCTTCATATTTTGTGTATGATTCATTATAATGTCATCAGCATGTGATATAAAGTACTGTTTTAGTGGCCAATACTACAAAAGAAAAAGCTCTTTACTGGAATCAGTTAATCTTCTAAAATGAGAAGTTGAAGCATTTTTACTGATTTATCATGTGTTTGTTGCTTGTTTATTCCTATTTCACACTTTTATCATTCCTACTCATTCTTTCCTGCCTTAATTCGTTTTAGTTCAACAAGTATTTAGCAAGCTCCTATTGTGTCCAAGGTAATGTGCTTTCCTAGACTTTACTCATTTTATGTTTATCTTTATTCTATAGCAGCTTTGGCCATTTTGATTGATCTTTATTCTTTAGCAGCTTTGGGCATTTTGACTTGAGATCTTACCTACTTGATCTCTGCTTTCTATAGGAGGTACCACCTGAAAAATGTGCACCTGAAAAAGATACATCTCAGGAAACAGTGAAAGAGCAGGAAACACAGGCATCATTTGTGGTAGGTGATTCTTCACATCATTCAGGATTTGGCCCAAACAGTATTATCATTACCCAACTATATACCAAACATTAATCCCATGTATTATATTAGCTGTTATGGGCAGCTAGGTGTGCAGGCCTGGATTCAGGAAGACTCATCTTCCTAAGTTCAGATATAGCCTCAGAGACTTACTACCTGTGTGATCCTGGGCAAATCACTTTAACCCTCTTTCCCTTAGTTTCCTCATCTGCAAAATGAGCTGGAGAAGGAAATGGCAAAGCACTCCAGTATCTTTGCCAGGAAAACCCCAAATGGGATCACAGAGTCAGACATGACTGAAACAACTGAACAACAAAATTGTCTATTATAGTTATGAGGGTTACTTTTTTTTTTACAACTTATTAAGCATCAGTGAAGATCTAATTAAGATATTGTCAACCACGCCCAGTTATACTTGCTTATGTTTATCCTGTTATACTCATATTTTATTTGCAGAAAGTCCATTTTGAGAAGTAATGAGCCTAAAATGCCAGAATTAAGAGTATGAGCTCAGTTTAATAGGCAATAAAAAATCATCATAGGTTCTTAATAGTTATATTATGAAAGCAAAATTATTCTTATCATCAGTATGGAAATTGGATTGAGGATGGGAAAGGGAGGAAAAACTTTTAAACAATTAAAGCCATCCAAGAGTGGAATGAACTGGACTACCTTGTTTGAGGGAGGTAGTGATTGAGCTTTTTGTAGGCATTAAATTTAATTTGTAATTATGATTATTCAAGTAGAAGCTACATTGCCACTTGTTCAATGTATTGTAGAAGGGCTTCCTGATCAGATATGTTCATATGACCTCTGAGTTCCCTTCAAAGTAGGAGATTCTATGATTCTACTTCCCTCCTTCCTCATATTTTCTGAATCTGAAACTCATTTTGATCTTGCCAATTTCTAACTTCAGCTTAATTTTTTTTTTTGCCTCTAGTGGGAGATTTTGAAAGTTTCCCTTTAAAGAGCATCAACAGATTGTGGGAAGATAGTGCATGCATTAAGGCAGGAAATTACTTGGCTCTCCCAAATTGCCCCCCTAAAAAATAACGTAAAATAATGCCTCAAGGTGAATTTTACAGTAACAGAAATAATCAAAAGTCATAATAAAACAGTAGTGCAGCCTAAGACAACTTGGGAAGATGTTAGAAAAGATTTGGCCTACAGGGTGGTGGTCTGGCCCAAAGAGAAGTGCAGATACTACCACGTCAACAAATAGCAAGCCCTGGGAGCAGTTGTGTCAAGGTAGTAGCCTCTGTTTTCGGAACTTTAGCCCAACAAACAGTGTCAGGATCAGGCGTGGGGATCAGGCAAGCTGATCAGGGCAAGACTGCAGGCACTCTATTGGTACTTAGAGTGGGAGACGGAGAGTTACCCAACTGGTGAGTGCCATGGCAAAGGGGTAGGGGTCCTGCTGGTTATGCTTACTCACAGGAAAGCAGAGTCTCTGATTTAGGGTCCAGGGCAGAGGGGCAAGCTCAATCTTGTTCATCCAGGAGACCAGTAGTACATTCTAGATTGTGAGAGCATTTGTGGTGGTTGCAATGCTGGGGGCCCTGGTTGTGGCTCAAGGGAACAGAGGAGTATTTGAGATGACTCATGGTTCAAGGCATGAGCCAGAAGAGCAGTGACCACACCTGGCCTTGGATCACAGTATATTGGAAGAAAAAAAAAAATCAAAGACCCCTTCAGACAGACCTCTGAATACAACAGCACAAAAAACCTAAAGCCTGAGACATTATCCCCCAGCAGCAGAGCCTAACCTTAACATAAAGTTGATAGCCAAGAAACAGGCCACTAAAAATGAGTAAACATCTAAGAAAGAACCTGACCAAAGATAGTTACTATGTGGTAGAGATGATCAGGGTTCAAACTCAGAAGACAGTTAGGTCAAAACAGCTACTTATACAGCTTCAAAGAAAAATGCAAAAATGGGCACAAGCCCAAAAAGAGTTCTTGGAAGAGCTTAAAAATGACTTTAAAATCCAATAAGAGAGGTAAAGAAAAAATGGGAAACAAAACGGGTAATACAAGAAAATTATGAAAAGAAAAATATGAAGAAAATAACTCCTAGGGGCAGCTATGTGGCATAGTGTATAGAGCACTAGCCCTAGAGTCAGGAGAGCCTAAGTTCAAATCTAACCTCAGACACATAACACTAGCTGTATGACTTCTGAGCAAGTCACTTAGCCCCAATTGCCTCATATAAGAAAAAAAAGAAAAAGAAAATAACTCTTAAAAAGTAGAATTGGGCAAGGGGAACCTAATGACTTCATAAGACATCAAGAAATAATAAAGCAAAATCAAAAGAATGAAAAAATACAAGAGAATATAAAATATCTCATTGGAAAAATAACTGACCTAGAAAACAGATCAAGGAAAGATAATATAAGAATTATTGGACTATCTGAAAGTGATAATCCCAAAAAAGTCTTATTAAGGAAAAGAACTGGAGAGTAAAATAGAAATTGAAAAAATCCATTCATCACCATCTGAAAAAGATCCCAAAATGAAAACTCACAGGAACATTATAGCAAAGTTTCTTTTTTTTAAAATTGGTGGTGGGGGGAAGAGGAGAGGCAATCAGGGTTAAGTGATTTGCCCAGGGTCACACAGATAGTAAGTGTCAAGTAACTGAGGTGTATTTGAACTTGGGTCCTCTTGACTCCAAGGCCAGTGGTCTGTCCACTGTGCCACTTAGCTACTCCTATAGCTAAGTTTCAAACTCCCAAGTCAAGGAGAAAATATCACAAGCAACTAAAAAGAAACAATTCGGATACTGTAGAGCTAATGTCAGGATAACATAAAATTTAGCAGCTTCTATATTGAAAGACCAGAGGGTATGGAATGTGATATTCCAAAGAGCAAAGGAGGTGGGTTTGCAACCAAGAATAACTTACCCAGCAAAGCTGAATGTAACCCTTCAAGGGAAAAAAAAAAGGTATTTAATGAATTTTAAAACGTTCAGGCATTCTTGAGGAAACAACCAGAACTGAACAGAAAATTTGACTTACAAATATAAGAATCAGGAGAAGCATAGGAAGGTAAACATGATGGACTAATCATAAGGGGTTCGATAAGGTTAAACTGTTTACTTCTTATATGAGAAAATGATATTTGTAACTCTTAAGAATGTTGTCATTTGTGGAAGGTGAAAGATAAAATGACCGAGGAAACAAAAGTTTGATCTTCTGAGCGTATTGCTGTATTAAGCAATGCATACCAATTTCTCAACAAACCAGAACCAGACCTCCTCACCTACCAATTTCTCAACAAACCAGAACCAGACCTCCTCACCTTAGGCCTGGACCCTGCATACGGGGGTAGACAGACATTTATACATTAAAAATAATCAAATAACACCAATTTAAAGGAAACAATATAACATTAGGTAATCTGATTTCTAATTGGATGAAAGATTAGGAACTTTCTAAGTAGGGAGGGGAAGAGCGAACAGGTGCAGTTCCCTGCATTCAAAAAAAGGATGCCTCACTCTCCACCCACCCCCCAAAGTGTGTGTCTGTAAACAATCAAAGGAACATGGAAACAATAACTGATTCTTTAGTATGGAGTCTGTTTTCAGATAAGACATATGTGTTGCTTGAAATGTACGATTATGAGAACACACCTTGCATCAATCTTTGTGTCTGACTAGGTTTCTGATCAACATAACTGAAGTCCTTGGTTAAGGGTCATTAAGCAGCAGATTTCTCAGCCATAGGTTCTAACAATACAATGAGGTGTTCTCCCAATTCCCATAGCTGAATAAAATTTTCTCACAAGATAGAAGTTAGACTAAACCTATAATTGAATAGAAAGGGAACTGAGCTAGCTCCAAAATTCAATCACAAGATAGAGTTAGTGTGGTTTACTCAGTTCCCACAGTTTAACTGCTTGCTGTCCTAATCCTCTCAATTCCCTCAATTATTAGGGTAACTAAGAAGAGTGTAACATAGATAGAGGGCTTGGGTCTGAGTCAATTGTGACAGAATGAGCCTAAAAACTAAAACTAGGTAGGGAGAGATAAAGTGGAGAGGCATGAATGGAAGAACTTTTACAGGGGAGAGGAGGATGAGGTGGAGGATGGGCAGCATGGCAACCTTATTTTCATCAGAATTGGGTTAAAGAGGCAATAACATACCTAGTTGAGTATAAAAGTCTTCTTAACTCACAGAGAAATAGGAGGGCAAGCGGATAGGATAAGAAAGGGTCTTTTGGAAGTACAGAGTAGGGAGGCAGTGGTCAGAAGTAAAATAGACTTCGGGGGGGTAAAAAGATAGAGAGAGACAGATAAGTCTAAAGCTAGTAATTATAACTTTCAATGTGAATAGAATGAATTCACCCATAAAATGGAAATGAATAGCAAAATGGATCAAAAAGCAGAACCTGACAATACATTGTTTACAAGAAATATTTAACAATGAGAGACACACATAAAGTAGAGCTGGACTAGAATTTATTATGCTTTAGCTGATATGAAAGAAAAAAGCAGGAGTAGCCATCATGATTGTCAGACAAAGTTAAAGCTAAAATAGATTTAATTAAGAGATAAACAGTGAAACTACTACATTATGTTAAAAGTTAGTATGAAGTAATATCGATACTAAATACATATGCACCAAATGATATAGCATCCATATTCCATAAGGAAAAAGTAAATGAATTACAGGTGGAAATAGATAGCAAAACTAAAATAGTAGGGAACATCCATCCTCCCATCTCAGAACTTGATAAATCTAACTAAAAAATAAATAAGAAAGAAGTCAAAGAGATCAATAGAATCCTAGATAAGATAGATATCACAGACACCTAGAGAGAACTGAATAGGAATGGAAAGAAATATATCTTTTTCAGCAGTACATGGCACCTTTTTAAAAAAGGACCAGGGCATAAAAATCTTATACTCAAATTCAGAACAGCAGAAATATTAAATACATCCTTTTTAGATTATAATGCAACAAAAATTACATTTAATA